TTTTTCGTTATTGTTACATTCTTACTCTAACAAAATTTATAGAAGGAGAAAAATAAATTTGAAACAACAAGAAAATAATATTGTTGACCCTTTTAGAAATTCATTCTTCATTAAACTGCTACTTTGAAAGCCCTTCTAGAGGCTTCATCAATGCAACTTTACGACTTTTACAGAAATATGTATGTATAATTGTTGCATTATGAAAGTAGAAGTAGATCAAAATGTTGGATTCTAGACTCATGTTAAAGAAATATTCTTGAACATTAAAAATTTAAAAATGAGTCTAACCTAGATAACTCAAATGCTCAGCAATGACTTGGAACATAAAGGACAACAAATCTATGTTAATAGACATATCTTTTGTAGCTTAAGATATTACTTTTATTTAGAGCAGAATTTGTTTCATATTCTTCAAATTAAGCTTGCCGAAAATATTCATAACTCACACAAAAAATATTTAGAAGAGTTGAATGAGAAGGAAAAAAAGAAAAACATTAGAAGGACGAAAGCTTTGTCCAAGTGAGATCATATACATACCAAACGAAAAATAATCAATACAATTTTAAGGAGACAACAAAACAGCGAGAAAAAACATATATCAAAGGGAGTAAAGTATGAGATATCCAATGATGACAACAAATATTCTAACTAGAAAAGTTTTCATATTTTTAAATAACATACCTCAAAAAATTGACCAACACTTCAATCAACTTTCAATCCTTAAAGTACTCATAATATCCACTGATAAAATTTAGTAAAAATAGATAACAACAACATAAAAAAAATAATATGGGCATTCAAAGTTATTAACTCTCAGAGGATTTTCTAAAGAATACAAAATCTCATCCTTGTATGTGAAGAAATGATGTTGTTGATGAAGAAATTAGAGATTTGTAAGGGCTTTTTTTTATTGTACCTTCAACAATTCCAGTAGAGAAAACTTGCTTGAATACTCAATTAACGTTTGTTATTTAATCTGTACGAACAAATACTTATAACAATAATTTTGCAGAAACATAAACAACGAAATTTAAAGCATGTACTTAAAAATAACAATTAATAATATAAGCATAAATTAATGACTGTAAAAAAACATACCAGGATCTGTAACAATAGAATGAAACATAATGGAAAAAATCGAGCCCACTGAATGCACAGTGTGCCCTTAAGGAAATTATTCCCCTCTAGTACTCGAGATTTAAAGTAATAGATCCTCTCATGATAGAACGATTTTATTCACCAGTGTATTGATACAAAAATAATTGTGTGAGTGAGTCATTCAACATGAGCAGAGTACACAATTATTTAATTGCCCATAAGAAGAAGTTCAAAATTTTTGTTGTTTTAAAATGAGAGAAAATTCCTCTATTTATAGACAACAAAATGTAGTGTGAACAAATGCTTATTGTGTCTTATCGGAAAGGTCACAACTCTTTAGAAAATTAAAACCCTTCAGAAATGTCACCACCTTTCATAAAATTCACAACTCTTCATAAAAGTCGCAACTCTTCATAAAAGTCACAACTTTCCATGAAAGGGGAAGGCTACTTTTGGAAATAAAATAAATTAAAAGGGAATCCTTGTTTGTGGTGGCGCCACGTAGGCGGGTCTAGGGTTCTCTTATATATATATATATGATATATGATTTACTTTAGTTTAAATTATGGTTATAATATTTTTTTTAAAGTTATTTAGTTTATTATTAAGTTAATTATTTCATTCGTGAAGTTTAAGAAACTCGTTAATTAGTCTTGTTTAAGACTTGATCGAATTTTACCAATTAAATTCAATTTGGTTAACTTCTTAACTCCAATTGGTCATAATTGCAATCCTTTGTAATTGCAATTGTAGCCACTTACTCCCCTCAAATCACTTTTCAAACCAATATTTTGGGTTTTTTTCCCAGCCCAAAATACAATTCCAAGCAGCAGCCCACTCAAACACCCAATCGTGTTCCTAAAGCTAACTCAATCAGCCCAATTTACTCTATCAGCAATCAACAATACACAAAAGTTCCTACAACAATACGCGTACATCAATACATCACGTACAACAGACCCGACCCTATACTCTTCTTCTTCCTTTGATCAAAACCCAAATCCCGATCCATCGAGCAACACGTGTCTCTCCTCCTCTCCCTTATCCTCTATTACGAATTTGTTTCGAGAATCGTCTAGGTGGAGGCATCTCCTTGTGATTGCGCGTCCTTGTTCAAGATCAGACGGCTCCCTTCAAAAATCCTTGTTCTAATTCTTGGCTATCAAACCTTATCGAATTCAAATTTCGAGATTTTGAATGGAATTGTTATCCGAATTTTGACCTCATTTTGCCTCTTCAATCTTCCCTATTTCTCTCTATATATACTCCCCTTCCTTTAACGTTTTAGGGGATTTTTTGGACACTGATTTATCACCCAAAATATAGAGCATTTCCATAAAACAAAATAGATTTCCCCAGAAATTAGCTACACAAACATACATTAAGAGCTCAAAAAGGCTTAGGATTTTTCCGTTCGAATTCTACGGAGCTCTTCGGAATTGGGTGAAGCTACGCTTGTGGTGTAGTCATTGCTCTTCTCTCGTTGTCTCAGTCTTGCTGCCCGGAAAAAGGTAAACGATTCTTCTCTACTTTACTGCTTTATTCTCTTTGTGATATAGATGCTTAAAATAATTTATTTCCCCATTTTTTTCTTAAGATTTCTTATTTTATCTATTATCTTGCTTGAATATTGATATAAGTTTCTCCTCACATATCTAGTTTTTTTATCTAAACATCTGTTTCTCTGATCACTATGTGGCATAAGTGTTGTTAAAGAATTGTTTTCCGGTGAAGCTTATTTGAATCTGTGTCATGAGTACAATCTAGCTTAAAGTAGTATATTGTGGTCATTCTTGTTCTTAAATGATTTGTTATTGCAATCGAAAGTTTATCCTTTGCTTAGTCAAGAATGTTTCATATATGTGATGATGTAGTATAACTTAGTTTTCATACTCACAGCCAGTTTTGGATATGTGTGGTGACATAATAGGATGTTCACGTGCTTGGATGAAGTAGCCACAACTCATTTAATCATTGTAGTTCGGTTGATTTATTTTGAATGTGATTAGAACTACTTACTACTTTAAAAGGCATGCATATTGTGGTTTGATAGTATCGCACTGTAGCATTAATTCATGACCATTTTGTCTGTTTATTTGTTAATTTAATCAGATTAGGGATAAACTGCTAATCTCTTTGCTTGTGTTTGTTAAGTATTATGAATTCTTACTAGGGTTGGACATAAATACCGAAAAACCGAAATATCAAACCGAACCGAATTGTTTTGGTATTTTGGTTTTTGGTTTGGTATTCGGTATATATTTTCGTATTTTTCAGTATTTTGGTTCGGTTTTTGGTATGTAACATTTATATTATTCGGTATTTTGGTTTACCAAAATATATTATATAATATTATATTAATTATTAATATTAAATAATAAATATATAGGCAAAGTTAGGTCAAAGAGTAAACATTACACAAGACTAAGACTTTTCACTTTTCAGCTTTAACTTTTCAAACATTTTTTAGCCGCACATTAGTCACTTCATTTTCCAATTTCCCACTTTCCAGTTCCACTTTCTGCTTCTGGCGACCGGCCGATCAGCAACAAGCCAACGATCGGCCGACCCAGCAAGCAGCACGTAGCAGGCCAGCACACAGGCAACATGCAGTAGCCAACCAGCAGCACGCAGCAGCCGACCGACGACCACCAGCGACCGACCGGCGACCACCAACGACCGACCGGCAACCACCATCAGGTATTGTATTCGATAGATTGATTATTTTTTTGTTGTTAATATTTATTCTTCCATTTTAAGTGACCAAGTTTAAAAATGAATATTTCTTCTTCCATTTATTTTTCTTTCTGATTTTTGCTTTTGTTACTAGTTAGTGTGTGAATTCATTGTGAAATAATTTTTTATATATATAGATGGCTGAACAAAATCAATTAAATGTGGGTGTGGCTGATCAAAATCGAATAAGTATGGCTAGTTCTAAGGAGGTGAAATGATCTGATGAACCTCTATACTTGTATGAGTTTGTATTATGGACCCTTCTACTTAACTTTTTATCAACTGAACCCTTAAACTCATTAAAACACAATATATCAAACCCCTCTGACTATTGACCATGCTTATGTGGCATTAAAATAGATGAATTGGCTAGAGAGTGTAACCACACTCATATAAAGGCAAATGAATAACATATTTAAATTTAAAAAATATAAACTAATTTTTTTAATAAAAAAAAGTCATCTTCTTCCCCTCACCTCACCTTCTTCAGTCATCCCCCACCCCATCCCCGCCCCATCCTTCTTTTTCAGCCCATCCGCCACCCCAACCCCCTCTTTCTGGCTTCAGCTACGGACCACCCATCTTTGCCTCAACTTCCTTTTGCAGTCACCCCCACCCTATCAGTAGACCCAATTCTTTCTTTTTTTCATTTTTTTGTTTCCATTTTAGTTTCATCAAATACCACTATTAAAGAATAGAATTTTCAAATACAAAAGGCTTACAAAGGAAGGAAAGAAATGGAAACAAAGGAAGATTAATTTAGATCTAATTTAAGATTCAAGATTTTCTTTTTAAGACTTCCATTTTTTATAACCGTCTTTTTTATTTGTATAAAAACAAGTTTAAATGGAAGAAAAATAGACTAAGAGGGTGGAGGTGATGATGGTTGTTGGTCGAGAGAGGTGGACGGAAGTTGGAGGAAGGTGATAAAAATAAGAATTTTACTTTAAAGAATTATCTTTTATTTAATATTTTGATTAATAATTTTTAAAAATAGTTAATGAAGATAATTATGACGTGTTATTAATTTATGTGACATGCATTTGACATGTCATCTATTTGAGGGAGAGTGGGCTACACAAATAATATGAGGGGTTTAAAAATCATCTTTTAATTGTGTTTAAGGGTTTAGTTGGTAAAGTGTTAAGTAAAATGATCCACAATACAAATGCATACAGGTATAGGGGTCCATTAGATCATTTCACCTTCTACGGACAATACACCTACTAATAGCAAAGATGTGTCAATTGGCACAGAGGAAACAAAAAAAAAAGAAATGGATCCTAGATTTATTGTTTGGCAACACTTTGATTTTATTTTTTTTGAAAATAGTGTATTAGTTAAAGAAAAGTGTTTACATTGTAAACAAAACTATGGTGCTAATACAACTAGAAATGGAACAAGTGGACTGAGACAACATTTGACTAACTGATGTAAAGTGTATAAGCCCCCGCCTGTTGCACCTAGTATTCAAAAATTGTTAAATATTCAAAGTAACAGTTCTTCGATAGAGACTTGGAAATTTGAGAAAGAGGTAGCTAGGAGATCTTTAGTGTAGATGATAATATTGGATGAACTACCTTTTAGTTTTGTTGAAAAAGAAGGCTTTAAGAAGTTTATGAGTAAAGTCCAACCTTTGTTTCGGATTCCTTCGCGTAGAACCATAACAAGGGATTCTTATGAAGTTTATGGTGAATTGAGAATGAATTTGAAAAAGTCTTTTAGAGAAATACAACCAAGAATTTGTCTCACAACAGACACATGGACTTCGGTGCAAAGAATCAATTATATGTGTTTGACTGCTCACTTTATTGATAGGGATTGGGTGCTTCATAAAAGAATATTGATTTTTTGTCCTATCACCATTCATAAAGGTGAGCATATGGTTGAGTGTATTAGTAATTGTTTGCTTGATTGGAACTCGGACAATGTCTTTAATGTTACGGTTGATAATGCCTCTTCAAATGATGTGACAGTTTTAGAGTTGTCCAAAAAATTAGATATGTGGGGAACTAATATGATGGATGGTAAGCATCTCCATGTGAGATGTATGGCTCACATACTTAATGTAATTGTGTAAGATAGTTTGAAAGAGATTGGTCCTTCTATCAAACGGGTGAGACAAATGGTGAAATATGTTAGATCATCTTCTACAAGGACAAGAAACTTCTTGAAATGTGTTGAAATGCAAAAGATAGAATGTGATAAAATATTGTCTTTAGATGTGCCTACTAGGTGGAATTCCACCTATTTGATGTTGGACACGGCAAGAAAGTTTGAGAAGGCTTTTGAGAGGTTTGATCTTTATGATGGTAATTTTAATTATTTTTGCTACTGATGTTTGTGAAGATGGAAGTATTGCAGGTTTAATTCAAAATGAGGATTAGGCTAATGTGAGGAATGTCACAAAGTTTCTAGAAAGATTTTATGAGCTCACGTAGAATGTTTCAGGTTCACGGTATGTTACTTGTAATGTTCATTTTGAGGATATATGTGAGCTTGATGCATATTTGAAAGTATGTATGACAAGTGATGATGTTGATCTTGATGCATATTTGAAAGTATGTATGACAAGTGATGATGTTGATCTTGATGCATATTTGAAAGTATGTATGACAAGTGATGATGTTGATCTTGATGCATATTTGAAAGTATGTATGACAAGTGATGATGTTGATCTTGATGCATATTTGAAAGTATGTATGACAAGTGATGATGTTGATCTTGATGCATATTTGAAAGTATGTATGACAAGTGATGATGTTAATTTGAGTAAATTGGCTTCGGGGATGAAAGAAAAGTTCAAGAAATATTGGGGTACTCCTAAAAAGATGAACAAAATTCTTTTTTTTGCCTCTGCTTTGGATCCTCGCAATAAATTTGTGTGTGTTAGTTTTGCTCTTGAAGAATTACTTGGGGAAGATAAGAGAAAGATAGTGAATAATGTACTTGAAGAAATTGTTTGTGATCTATGTAAGTAAGTATGCAAAAGGTTCTAAAAATCAATCATCTTCATCTGACTCATATGATTCATCTACTTGTGGTCTTTCTCAAAATGTGAAAACAAATTCTTTGAGAACTAAGTTTTACATGAAGAAACAAAAGGAAGATTTTGGAAGTTTAGGTGTTAATTATGAGTTGGATAGATATCTTCTTGAAGACCAAGAGCCTGAATCTAAGGATTTTGATATTTTAATTTGGTGGAAAGTTAATTCTCCTAGATTTTCTATACTTTCACCGTTGGCTCGAGATGTATTGGTTATTCCTATGTCGAGTGTGACATTGAAATATGCATTTAGCACCGGTGGTCATATTCTTGATCCCTTTAGAAGTTCATTGACTCTCAAATGTGTGCAATGCCTTATTTGTGTCCAAGATTGGCTTAGACAAGAAACTAAGCCTATTTGTGTTGAAGAAAGTTTGGAGTTTCTTGAAATAATTGAACTTGGTAAGACTATTTATTTTTTATTTGTTTTTGGAAAAAATAAAATACTTATTGTGTTGTGTGACATATTTGATTTTTTTATTTATAGAGATGACAAATAGTGGAAGAAACTCTTCCACTGTTGATCTATGATTGACTTGCAAGTCTCAAGTATTTAATAGTGGTGAGTTCGATACGTCATCTATTTAATCATGTCATTTTTTTTAATCTTAAAAGTAGTATTCTAACATTTGATTTTATCTTAAAAGGTTAAAGAGTCAAGACAATGAATAAAGGCGTAAAGTACAAAGTTTTGTTAGTGTTTTTGTTGGCACTTGAAACTTGAAAGTGATCTCATGGAAGAAAGTCAAGAAACTACATTGTTGCTCATTATTGTTATTTGTTATTGTTGGCATTTGAAAGTGATCTCATGGAAGAAGCTACATTATTTGTTGCTCATTATTGTTGTTTGTTATTGTTGGCAGTTGAAACTTGAAAATGGTCTCATGGAAGAAACTACATTAGTGAATTATTGTCACTTGTTAGATTGTTATTGTGTTGTTGTGTAATGGCATGATCAATTGATCATTGTATTTGTGAAGTGTAGTGAAGTTTTATTACTTGTTAAATTGTTGCTTGTTAGTGCCTTTTTGGCTTTATTATTTTTACTTGTTAAATGTCTAGTATAGTTGGCTAGATTGTTAGTCATTACTAAAGTCTAAATATTTGATAAATAGTAACAGCTTAAGGAATTAGGACCACTAAAGCATAGTAGCATACCATAGAAATTAGATATTTTGAAAGAGCCACAAAAAAGATGTACTACTAATCTAAGAGACAATAGTATTGTTGCTACAAACATATCCATAACACTTTAAGGACCACTTATTTTTAGCCCATTAAGCTGAAAAATCAAACAAAAAAGTACAAAATTTTAAATTTTAAAAAGCCAACTAAGCAGGCCCATAACAAAAAAACTGAACTAACAAAAACCGAATTAAAATAATATAAATTGAACCGAAATAATAAAAACCGAACCAAATTATTTTGGTTTGGTGTTCGGTACGTGCGGTACTAGAACCAAAAACCAAAAAAACCAGAAAAAAAATGAAACCGAACCGAATTATCGAATGCCCAACCCTAATTCTTACTCATGAGCCTTTGTTTTCTTCATTTTATGATTAGTGATTTTTTTTTCTTAATAAAGTTGAACCCTTGCATGATTAGATATATCATATTTGCATCTCTTAGTTGTACTCTCCAAAAATCGATACAGTAGATTACTTTTCAATGCAATATTTTAGTGTATCTCATGGATCGAACAAGGTTCTTATGTGATTTTATTTTTGATGCATGTTGTAACGTCCGGAAACTAGTAGGCTAAACTAGAGCTTGACGTGGGGGTTAGAGTCGTAGATATGGCTTCCCGTACTGAGTGGACCCATATAATTCAATCGGGGTAGTTGCCGAACCATACCACATAGTTCCAGCAATAACAAAAACTGCAAAAAAGACATCAACGATACTACTGGAAAGGACGGTTTCAATATTTCCCATAATGACGACTTTCAACGGGTACATCTATCATTTCACCGGTCGGTCAGTTATGGAAGACTCTACTAGGTAGTAGCCCGAATATCATTAAGAATATCTTAACATTTTGCATTTTTTTGTGTTTTTTTTATAATGGAAGGTAATATATGAATAAGAACAGATAGCATTCTGCTAGAGAGAGGGCACAGAAGAGAATGGGTGATATCCCGTGTACATAAGTATTAGGTCCACCAGTGCACACAATTATTTTGTTATTATCTCCTGCCCGTTTAACTACTCCTCGAGAAAGAGGCAGATTCTTAGACTAAAGAAGCAGTGGCTACTATTGCTGAAGTCCAGCATCAGGAACAACCTCAAGCTGGTGGCCCAGCCCAAGAAGCTACTGCTGAGCCCGTAGAGACTGGAGCCAAGCCTAGAAGGGCGAAGCTTTTTTTGCTGTATAACTCCCTCCATCCTTTGGAGGTGGAAGAAAGGGTACTCTAATTTTAATACATAGTAGGGCCCAGAACGCTAAAAGGTGGGGTGGTAACAAGAGTTGTCACGATAGAAAAGAGAAAAAAAGAAATGAACCAACGACTCTCTCTTCTTAAACAACCTATATCCTTAGAATGAAGGGTTTCGGGGTAGGACGTCAAGGTATGACTCCCCAAAGGACCAATCAAGGGTCCTTGAGGAGGACCCTAAAAATCTGCCCCAAAATAGTCCACTCACGAAAGGGACCCACTCACCGTGGGTGAGGGGCCGTGGGTCAGGATCCCAAAAGAAGAGTTGAGGACCACCACCCACGGATGACCAGAACGCTTTGTGGGTCCACCCACGGCTCATGGGTGAGGCAGTGGTCAAGTTTGGGACGGTTAAGTGAGGGTATTATGAAACTTTCCAGAATTAATTAGGGGTTAAGTGGTGTCGTTTTAATCTTACTTAGACCACCTATATAAAGACTTTAGACCCTTAATTTAGTGATTCAAAATCATTATTTCAAAACCCACCAAAAAGAACCCAATTCCCTCTCAAAAATCATCTATTTAGGAGAAGGAGAAGAAGAAGAAGAAGAAAATCAAGCTAGGTCAAGAGTCCATTGTTGCAAGCTTTATAAGGCTTTATAATCAAGGTATGTTAGATTATTAATCCATGGATTCTTCCATTCATGGAGTCCCCTAGTTATTCCACAATTGTGAAGATGAAATCCCCAATTCAAGTTAGGGTTCCTTCCAATATTGTGGGTTAAGTTGAATATGAATTTAATTGAGTGGCTATTGATTGTTTATGATTCAATTAGTAGTGAATCATGCTATTATGATGAAATTACATGTTTTCCATGCCTAACCCTAGTCTAATTGATGAAATTTAAGTAATGTGGGTTTATGCCTGGTGAAGGGAAATTGAGGATTCATTGATGATCTTCTAGAATTGATTATATGTATAGTAATTGTTCATGAATAAAAGAATGTAGACATGAATTGAATTAGAATAATATATATGTGATGGATCATTACTAGTAAGGCTTGAGATTGAACCTTTATGATGATATATGATTAGAATCACTTAAGAATGAAACATGTGATTAGAATGCCTTGAAATCTAGGTATGTATGATGATTGTAAGAAGTAAAGCTTTGAGAGTAAGGCTTGTAGTCATGAATGTTGATTGCTAGGGCTTTGAGAGTAAAGCTAATATGTTGAATTATGTATGTAATGACTTTGAGAGTGAAGCCTATATGAGAATGGTAGATTAGTAGATATCATTGTTGTGGAAGGACTTTACCCACCTCATCTACCTTATGAATGTTAGAATGCATAAAGTGATAGAATCACTTCAAACATAGGTTGGTTGTCAAGGACATCCCTCCATGAGGCATAAGTTAAGTAAGGCTTAATAACTAGTCTAAGGGGTGTATGTTTGGACCCGAATGGATAATGACAATGAGATGGAGGCTCACACATAGTTGGGTCCGGGTTTCCAAAATAAAGGAGGCTCACACCTAGTTGAGTGTGGGTTTCCAAAGTAAAGGGGGAACTCTCACAGGAGAGTCCAATTTTTCCTAAAGTAGGTCTCATGGGATGGAAGCCTTCACCTAGTGAAGTCCGGGTTTCTAGTAGCAATCTTCGTATCCAATGAACTAAGACATACTTAAAGAAGTATCTCCTAGTGTTCAAAAGCATTAATGAACTAAGGCATTCTTGAAGAAGTATCTCATAGTGTTCAAAAGTAAAGAAGAGGAACTAAGATGTGCTTAAAGAAGCATCTCATAGTGTTCAAAGATAATTATGAACTAAGACATGCTTAAGGAGGCATCTCATAGTGTTCAAGAATAACAAGAGGAGAAATGAACTAAGACATGCTTAAGGAAGTATCTCCTCGTGTTCAAAGGTAACAAGATAAATGATTAACTAAGATATGCTTAAATAAGTATCTCGTAGTATTTTCAAACTCCTTAGAGATGATGTTGGCTTGCATGAAAAGAATGATTAGTATGAATGAGGACCTAAAGTGACTTTCTTAGCATGGGTGGTATTATGGGGTCTTATCCATGCATTGCACGAGAATGCCTTAAGGTTGCTAATGAAGTGTTCTCTTATGTGTTGTATGCTTAGCTTGGATTGTTGTTATAGTTGCCTTCCTTGATATGTTTGACTAAAGGTGAATGTTCCCTTGTCTATGAGACATAAGCTAAGGATGAGATCAAAGATGGTAAGTATGTATGATGGCCTAAGGTGGTACTTAGTATGGGTGAGATTATGGGGTCTTAACCATGCATTGCAGAAGTATGACTTGAAGCTACTTATGAAGTGTTCCTCTTATGAGGTGAAGGACTAAGGGTTGACTAATGTTTATATTATGCCTATGTTGGAGATTATGCTTATGACTATGTTGTTGTCTCTTATGCCTTTAGTTTATGTTTTATAAAGTATCTCTTATAATTATGGCATATCTCTTATGATCGACTAACCCTTTATGTTATGCTCTTGTGATGTTATGCTAGCTATCATATTTAGTACTTTATTACTAACGCATACTCTTGTCTACATTCTTATCAAATGTAAGGTCCGGAGATATTGAGTTCCATTCTCGTGGCTAGGTTTCTAGTAGAGCAAGGAGTTGAAGAAATGGTCAGTCCTCATAGCATCGAGGAGATGATCACCTTTCTTTTTTTGTCTTTCTTTTATGTTAAGCACTATTGTATAGGCTGTGTCCCAAAGATATTCATGTTCTAAATGGTTTGAGACAAGTGTAATAAGGCTTCCTCTTTGCTTTTATAAAGACTTTGATTGTATGGAAAATGTTTTAAAATTTCCGCACTCTTCTATTATCTTATGTTATGATATGCTAAGTGGCTTACATGGAGTCCTTCGGGGTTCTATGTGCCATGTAACATCTAGGGTGTACCCATGGGTCATGACACATGTAAATCCAATCCGAGTCTAATGGACTCCATTTGTTGCCTATATTGTTTAGTTGAATTCCTTTGAGTCAGTCCGTCAGTATTCGAGTGAAAAAGAAAACTAAAATACAAGTTTCGAAAGCAAAATACAGGTCTCGAAAAGCTGAAAACATGCTGATATACAACCCGTATGCACTTAGTATACATTGATATATGGGTTGAGTGAAGCAAATACATGGCCAAAAAATTAATACATGTGTTGGAAGCTGAGTTAGACTGTATACACTTGGTATACAGTCCGATATACAGAAAAAAGAACCAAAATACAGCCCGTATACACTGGTATACAGTCGATGTATATGCAATCTTTCAAGCATGAGAATGGCCAAGCCCAATTTTTGTAAGCCCAAATTTTGACTTTACTTCCTTTCTTCTTATTATTTGTTTATTTGTATTAACTTTCTAACCTTTGTTTTAATTGGATTTAATTTAATAAAATTTCTAAAAGATAGTGATTATGTTTAATTGAAATATTTAAATTTTATTTATTTATTTAATAATTTATTTAGATAGAAAATTTATTTCCTGAAAAAATCATGTTAAGTCCATTTCCTTTAAGTAAAAAATGTGTTATTTTATTAATTCTCAAAGTTAGTCAAATTTTAGTCAAGTCGTAGGTTAGCCGCATGTTAGCGGACACTTCAAATGCT